GCTGCCTAAAGAGGAAAGCGAGCCCACCCCTTGGGTTGGGAGAGCCATTGGCACAACGCACAGGGCGGGGGATCCTGGCAGCTGGAAGGAAGCATGGGGAGAAAATATGCCAATGGAATTTAGCTGGCTGCAAGCTCACTGCAAGCCCAGTGGTGGGCTGCACGTGCTGTGAAGGGGATGTCAATCCCCAGCCTAGGCAGAGAGGAACTGCCCTGGGCCCAGAACTGTGAGAGATCAATATCTTTTCTTTATAAGTTACCCGGATTCCGGTGTTGTGTTACAGCAGCACAAATGGACGGGGAGGGAGCCCCTGAAACCTGAAAGCATCTATCTGGTGGTGACGTGCAAATCAGTGCCACCAGTAAGAACATGAACAGAGAGGATTCTGAGGTCCACTAGTGTGGCCAGGCAGAGGAAGTCCGTGGGAGAAGGGGGAGGATCTGCTGAACCAAGAGGAGGAAGAACCTGAAGAAGAGGAGGCTGCCACCGTGGGCAGCTCTTGGGGTGGGGTGGGGTGGGGTGGAGCGTGGCACACAGAGGAAGGAGGGAAGGCAAAGGCTGAAGGTGGGGATGAGCTGAGTGTGCTGGGGGCCAGCCCAAAGGGCCAATTCAGCAGGCATCAGATGAGAGGGGCTCGGGAACGGTGGCAGGGGAGGAGGACCCTAAGAGAAAGCCAACTGTGAGGGGTGAGGCAGGGCCGCCGACAAGGATGGGGGCCTTGGGTTCACTCTAAGGAGATGGGGACCCAGGGGGAGTACACCTCAAGGGGAAGAACAGGGTCTGGTGGTGTTGCCAAGAGCTTGATCTCCCCAGCTGCCATGGGGATTGGGGAGTAGAGTAGAGACTATGACAGGTTGGATCTGGGGGTGAGAAATAAAGGAGAGGAGGGAAGGAATCCTGCCATCCATCTTAGCTTGAGCAAGCAGGTGGGAGAGGAGCCCTATCTGGTGGTGATGCAGCTGGGGAAATCTGGGGAAGGAGCAAGTGCACTGAGAGGGGCAAAGCGCTCCAGTTTGCACACCTGAATTCCGAAATTCTCAGGGGGCATCCAAGTGGGCAGTTTGATGCACATGTGTGGAGCTCAGGGGAGGGCTTGTATCCAGACACGGAAGATCCCCTAGAGGCACTGAATGTCCCTGGGCTGAGCCTGGGAACCCTCCTCCACCATGCTGAGCCCCAGCAAATGAGGAGGAGGAAAAGGGGTTGGGCAGGGGAGGTCCAAGGACAAACAAAGTAAAAGCCAGCAGAGAGGGAGGAGGTCAATCTGAAGGGAGGGAATGGGTGCTTCCAGAAACCAGGGAAGGAAAGGGGTTGGGGAAGCCAGGAGAGCCAAGCCTGCTGAGAGGTGGAGACAATGGGGCAGAGAAGTGACAAAGGAAAGACAGCGAGGTGTCACAGCTCAAGCCCCCGTGAGGATGCAGGGAGATGAGCCCACACCCATACCCCAGACAGAGCCAGAGTCTTGGACTTGGAGTCAGCAGGGAAGGGAAGGAGGGAGAAGGTGGGGAGAGAGGGAGAGTAGAAAGAGGTGAGGCTGAAAACAGGACAAATGCTGGGCCAGTTGGTGACACTAGACCCACCCCAAGAATATTTCCATGGGAGTGCTCTCCCTAGAGAAGGACCCCAGAAACATCATGGCTGAAACCAAGAAAGAGGGTGGCATGTGGTATAAGCCATGGCGAGTCTAACACTGAGGCCGAGGAGACAGAAATTCTCACGGTGGGTGTTAAGAGCGGTAGTGGCTTGTATCAGAACAAGCAGTCTAGGTCCTCAAGGAGAAGGGGAGGGAGCAGACACATGAAGCCAACAGAGGAAGCTGGTTTGTGAGAGAAGACACCTGTTTCTTTGTTTGCACAGTGGGTCACTGTGGACCAGACACCTGACAGTGACAACTTAGGGGAGGAAAAGTTTGTTTTGAGGTCACATTTTCAGAGGTTCAGTCCATGGCCGGCCAGCCAGCTCCCTTGCTCTGGGCCTGAGAGTGACGAAGAACATCATGGTGGAGGGGTGATGTGGAGGAAAGCTGCTCACTTTGTGGCAGCCAGAAAGTAGAGAGACAGACGGAGAAGCCAGAGGGACAAGATATTGTCCCCAAGGGCACAGCCCCCAGTGACCCACCCCCTCCAATCATGCCTCACCTGCCTACAGTTACCACCCAGTACAGCAGTCCTTTCAAATTATTAACTCATCAGATGGATTAATCCATGGATTAGGTTATAGCTCTCATAATGTAACGGCATCCCTTCTGAACATTCCTGCATTGACACAGGAGCTTTGGGGGGGGGGGCACCTCATATCCAAACCATAACCCCTAGCTTTTACCACTCCCAGCCCCCAGAAGGGGTGGAAACGCCTGGGGAGCAAGGGCAAGCCAAAGTCCAACCACGAGGCCAACTCCAATGTGATGTGCTTCTGGACAATGGCTGAGTGTTCAAAATGAGAATGCCTTCGACCTTGACGCTAGCAACTTTCTCCTGGAAACAGGCCAACAATATGTCTCTGAGATGGGGAGGAGAGGAGTAAAGGAGATTGATGGAAGAGGAACAGGGAGTGTTCGGTGAACTTGTGGGAGGATTCCCAACCTTGCCACTGACTCAGGGAATGCAAGGCACATGATGACCAGGTAGCATTTCTCCCCTTGGGATGGGCAAACGTTCAAGGCTGAAGAGACCAAAGGTTGCTCAGGCCTTGGGGCTTGCAAGGACACTCCCATGCTGCGGGTGGGAGGGAACACAGATTTAGCCATTCACGGGAGAAAACCAGTGAGTCGCACATGGTCACGGCAGTGATGGGTACAACCCAAGACCCAGCATAGCCACTTCTTGACAACGGCTATGTACACCCTGGAGCCTGCCTCACTGACGGCGGCTCAGAGAGGCACGTGGGACTTGGGCGGCAGCAGTGTCTGTAACAGCCCTACCCTGGGAACAGCCCAAATGCCCCAAATGCCTCAGGGGTGGTCGGACAACCATGCTGCCCTCCGGGCCAAGAGAGTGTAATGGTTTGGAAGTGAGGTGTCTCCCAAAAGCTCAGGTGTGAGACAGTGCACGAAGGTTCAGAGGAGAAACGGTTGGGTTGTGAGAACCTTAACCCAACCAGTGA